CCCCCCCCCCCCCCCCCCCGTCAGAATCTACTTACAATGCAATGGACGGCATTTTTCATCCATCCGTCTGTCTGCTGCTGTCAGCTGAAAACTAGAAATAAATCTCTGGCTCTTTTTCACGTTCCTTCGGGCCAATTACCTTGGAAAACGCAGTAGTTTCTCCACCCACACGGACCTGCCTTTTGTGAGACCTCGAATGTTGGACCGTGGGGTTCTTGCAGAGGGATGATGCCGGGGGGAGCGTCTGAAGTGCGTAAGAACAAGATTATTGTTCAAACTATATGCAGGAGCGTTGTAGAAACATTCCGGATTTCCTTAATTGATTTTTACTTGAATAGACAACAACAACATCTTTTTTTCGTAACACATTGCTCCCATATTTTTTCTCAGCTTCGCTGTATTTAAAGTCATAAAATGTTAGTCTAGCAACAGAAAATTGTATCTTCACCCGTGAACGTCTCAATGGTTGAGACTACACCGAAGCAACCGACGGTTTTCAGGAGTCAGATGTTTCCTGCTAACTTCTCTGAGAGTTGTTGTTGTTGTTATTGTATTGCTTTCGTGCCTATCGACTTATATCGACAAAGTACGTACAAGTATTCCGTCTACCAAATGCCATTCACGCGTCTGTCACTAGTAGGCGATACAGCAGCTATATATATATATATATATTTGCTTAGTACATTTTATAAACTTTTAAATATACATTCAATATTAAATACTTTTTAATGCGTCAGTAAACAATTGCTGTTGACCTTTAGTACGATATGTCTGTTCGTAAAGAAAATTAAAAATGTCAAATTAATTCTACTTAAGTGCATGCCTGCTCTCCATTCTAAACGTCAAATAGAATTCTCTGCTTCTAGGAATGTCGGGGATGGAAATCCTTGAGAGTTGTAGGGGTGACGCTGCTGAGTGGGACTGACAATCAAGATCGTGTTAGTTTAGGCCTTTGTCCGTGAATTTTGTAGAGTCCATTTCTTTTACGTTGTCAAGAATTTAGAATGAATATCTTCATTTTCCTTGTGCGCTTTACAGTATATTTTAGTGCACTGAATAGACCACTCAACTCGTATTTCTACTAAATTTTAAGGAATTTGTGGTATCTTGAGAATATGTTTTTCTTCCTTATTCCTGATGGTCTTCACATCGATGTTAATTATTGGTTGAAGTCCAAGTGAAGTCAGTGGTTGAGCTAAGAATCCAGGAATCTGAAACAGGAAAATGAAGTAATTTAGGTCAGTTTTTCCGCAAAGCCGATCAGCTATTTACCAACATCTGTGCATGTGGTAATCTGTCCGGTGGAAGATACTCACCCCATCGAAAGGTGATTTTAGCAATCTCTTGTGAGAAATACCTATACGGTAACTTGAAATAAGCCATGATCGATTAATCTACCATCCTCGTTAACTCATGTATCAGTTAGTGCGTAAGCTAAATGACAGACAGAAAGTAACTGAACAAGCAGAAGAAAGTAGTGTTCGGCCTATTACTTAAATAGACACCGGCTCTATGATTTCAAAACCAATTCGTTTTTGATAAAAGGAACATATAATACTGGAAGTGCATGTAGACCCATTAAAAAGTTCACATGTGCCTGGTAATTTGTATGTGTTGTGTTTATTTCTAACTGTGGTCCTGATTCTTAAATACATTTTTATTGTATCAGAGAACGCAGAAGATAAATTTATGAGCTTTGAAACCACAGAAATACACAAAAATAAGATCATACAGGCAAACAAACAAAGACACAAATTTGCGGATGTGATTGGGTTCTCTGACACCCTGATTTTGGCTTCTCAGTTCCCTGCTCTGTTTCCAAGTCCGCCTGGTTGCATGGTAACGAAATAATAACAAGTGACGGGCGAGTCTTGACAGCACTGCCATTTCAAGCTTCAAAAAATCCCTTACCAGTTTTCTAGCGTAACTTCTTTCCGTGCTTTGTAGCACTGTTCGTACATTTGTATCAAGCAAACGGAAAGAAAGGTAATATGAAGAAGGAATCGTATATTTACGTCAGTAGCTGTTTAAATTAGGAGCGTCAGTCTAGCAGACAGACAGACAAACAAACAGAAGCAGGTAGCTGGGAAGTGCAGTCTATTGGATTCAGTCTAGAGCGGGGAAGATCAATTCTTGTTGTGCAAGATTTTCAACTGCTATAGAAACCTGGCGATCCTCTTCAGCGCAATTCTTGTCTCTCTTTTATCTTCTGTCTGTCTATCTGTCCGTTGTGTGCCAGGGAACGCATCCTCCCGCAAGTTCACATTGCTGTGGCGCATTAAGACGTTTGATGTGCTTTCAGAGCACAAATAAATATAATTGCTCAACCTCACATAATACAACGTGTAAACCCAGACGATTTCACTGTGAGGAGCTTGACCAAGAGCCACTGGGGGTCGCCGTATAGACAGACCGTGTTTCTTGCAAGGAGTGAAGTGACGTCTTAGAACCAATCACAGTCCTGTAGGCTACCCAATTTAACCCCTGCGTGAGCCTGCTTGCTGCTTTGGACATAGTGATGTAGCTATTAATGTTCGGAAAGGCATCATTTCGTGATTTTTAGTTTTCGGAATAGTAAACCATGTAGTCATGATAATAATACAGGTGTTAGATCTGGAAGGAATACTTAAATAAAAAATAAATGTGTTTAATTGTTATGAGAATATATTTCTGGCTGAATTTCATACATTACTTCACCATATTTGTTGTGGAAGATGTCTCTTAGTTTGAATGGGGCATTGTCGCCGACCAAGTTATGTTCCCGAAATAACCCCCCCCCCCCACACACACACACACACACATTTCTGTTGCTTAGAGGTTCATAGGAACGAAGTTCATCTTGCTCGCCTGTAATCTGCTTATTTGGTCTTCGATAGCTCTAATGAACCAAACCTTGTTTTTTCCAAACAGAGAGGGAATCTGATTATGACATTTCAGAACGTTCTGGAAATCTGTTCACGTAATTTGTTTCCCTTGTAATTAAATTTAGAAGAAAATCAGATGGACGTTTATGGAGGGTGTAACGAGCCTTGAAAACTAACA